TAATTTTCTGGCCCTCCCCCCCCCCCCCAATTTATCTTTATGCTTCTAACAGAGCCTGAAACTATTTTTCTTTTATGGTGATCATTTCAGCACAAGAATTGGAGAAGGATTTGCATGGTCCTGCAGCAGATTCGCTCCCAGTTGAGAAAAAATTAGCAGTCTTTGACAAAATCTATACTGCATATCAAGAGGCTAGGAGCTTCATTCGTAGTGACTTGGTATGGGAGTTCAACCAAATTATGTTAATTCCATCTTTTTTCCTGCTTTTAATATCTTAACTTTTTTTTTCTTATAAATATTTTCATGTCCTTAGTTTTGTTGATTATTTTTTGTTCTAATCCTTCTTACTTGATTTTTTTTACACTTTTTTAGGCCAGTGCTGGTGATGCCGACAGTGTCAAAGATGACTTAAATGGGCTTGATAAAGCTGTTGGTGCTGTACTAGGACAGCGGACCATTGAGCGTAACCAGTTGTTGGTTAGCATTGCCAAGAGTAAGCTTGCTAGGCGCCGAGATGACAAAAATGAGAAAGTTACCAAGCCAGAAGAGCTTGTTCGCTTGTATGATCTTTTATTACAGGTCAGCATTATTTCCTTATGTATGTGTTACCTGCATGTTTTTTCTTTTTAGAGGATTGATTTCAACTACTGCTAAATACAACACATGCCACTACCTCAGTTAAATAGCTGGCTTTTTATGTTTATGTTAATGTTATGTATGACAGAATACAGGTGATCTTTCTGATTTAGTTAGTTCTGGAAGAGACCGAAAACCTGAAGACGTTGCATTTTCTGAAGACTGTGTTCTTCATGGTGTGGCTTTCCGAGCACAAAGGTTGGAATCTGAAATTTATATGAATTATTAGATTGGGTTTTTTTTTTTTTTTGTGCTGCTTCGATTACAGTTTTTCCAATTGATGGTTCTTGATTGATTGAATGTTTGGATGATACCTTTTATATTTGGGGTTGTTATAAGCATTGTTCAAGAAATCACTTGATGACTAGATAGTACATCCTTTCATGCTCATCAACTTTCAACATCCTTTGCCCTTCCTGTGATCTTTCTTCTGTTCTTTGCCTAAGCATACCCTTTGCAATGCACATCAACACTTACATTTCTGCTTATCAAAATTAAACAGTGGAAGCTGGATCTTTAAAAACCAACCAATCTGTTTATTTATATTTTGGATTTTTAATCTTATATCTCTGAAAATATTCGCAGGTGCTTCTACTTGGCAAAATCATACAGCTCAGCTGGAAAACGAACAGAAGCATATGCATTATACTGCCATGCTCGATCCCTTGCTGAGAATGCCCTAAAGAAATTTGAAACCACGATGGACACTGATGAGGTGATGTAGCCTGGAGAAAGGAGATTAAAACTTTAGGCAATACTTTTTATTTCATTAGCTGAGGTCAATTGGGGATTTGTTTTAGCTGCTTTGCTCTATGGAACATTTTCTTGATGCACTCTTGGTTTGATTTTGATTCATGACCTCCAAGTATATGACATGCCAAATATTTTACTTGGATTGTTAATGATTTCGTTTAACAGGCAATGACCAAAGAGTTGAAAACACTATACAACGAGTGCAGAGCTAACAGTTGCATAGAGCATGCAACTGGGATTATGGAGGATGAGAAGGCTCCGGAGAATCTCTCAAAGAAAATTTCTACAATATCACTCAGCGGAGTGGAGAAGAAGGTAACCATCTGGACTTTGTGATTCCCTTTTGTTTCTCTCGGAATAGGCAGGATGATTATTCTCAAAAATTTAATTGTGTACCAAAAGAGAATAAACTGGCAAACAGGATGGGTGATATAATTGTATTTCAATTTCTCATTCTTGCATCTTATCAACATTAGCCAAGTAAAGCACGGAACAAAGATGGTAATACTTCGTTTTTCGTTTCTATAGCTAGAGTCTTTGACATAATATTTTGCAGATACTTCTATAAGCTATCCTAACCAGCTATAATGTTAAAGTTTTCGTGAGATATATTATATTGTGATTAGCTTGTGAGTTCTAATTTGGATTCCAATTCATTAGCCTTTTTAACTTTTCTTTTCCTTTCATGCTTCTAGTTGTATGCAATTATCATGCAATGTTTGTCCATCCTATGTATAATGTAAGACAGCTGCTTTAGCTCCTGCTCTTGCGTGTCTGATCTTGGTTGACCTGCTGATTTGAATGTGTCAGGCCGAGAAATTCCTCGTTGAGAAACTAGATGTCTACGAGTCTGCTGTTGGTGAATCAAACGTGAAAAGTGTGCCTTGCATCGGAGTCTTCCCTCCAGCTTTCCAATCAATACCTAGAAATCCTATTGTTCTAGACCTTGCCTATAACTGCATTGATTTCCCATCTCTAGAAAACAGGATGAAGAAGGACAAGATGGGCTTCATAAGTAGGCTCTGGCGATGAGTTCTGTAGATGAGGCATTTGATTACACACCTTCCCCCACCAGAAGAGAATAGGGGTAGAGAGAATTCCTTTCCAAGGCGCTGGATGTGTTCACTTTGTAGTCAGAGCTGATGAATTTTGACGGTATTTAGTCTATTGACCCGTTGATAATTCTTTTTGAATTTTGGGATTGATAAATTTTGTGCTAATTTATTGACAAACTTCAATAAAGTAGCTAAACAGGGTGGTTGTGCCTCTTATATTTTGCCTTGTCTGAAATGAAATTCCAAATTTTACGTTCATGCTATCATTTTGTTAGATCCTACCTGACAGTTTTTGATCCAATTTCAAGGGATATCCCTTTGTTCATCATCGTTTTCTGAGAAAATCATTAGAATTTAGTTTGAGGAGCTCATTTTCCTTCATTTCTGTTTCAGCCTTTAGGCCAAACAGAAAATAAGGTCTTGAAATTTAGATGCTTTCTATTCCCTCAAAATTTTGTATGTGTATATAATCATCATATTTCTCTTGCTAGCTAGCTACTATGTGATTTATATAATAATAAATGGAGTAGTGCAAAAAAAAAAAAAAAACAAAACCTAAAAAAAAAAAAAAACCAAAACTTCACTCCAAGAATGTACAGTCTGTTGATTAACGATCCTAAAATCACACAGCTCCGAACCTTGGCTTGGCCCGGTGAGTCAACTTGTAGGCCTGAGTACTGGTCAGGACCGGGTTTTCTTTTGGATCATTTAGGTAACTGATCTGGGAAACATACAGAAGAAACAGGGAGAGCTGAGCTTCACTCTTTGTAACCAGCCCGTGTTTCTGATATAAACGACATCGTTGAGTCTAATCTCATGAACCATTTTGGGTTTTTTTGGCCCAAGAGAATAATCTATGGCCTTTCTGCAAATGGTGTTCGAAACATGCGAACCCAATGGGTTGATTTTCCAATCAATTTTAGCCTTAAAACCCCTTGCAATAGAAGAATATTCATAGAGAAGTAGAGAGAGAGAGCCTTTACAGCCCACTCGATGTTGTTCGAGCAGATAGTCTCGAAAGACTCGTTATTCTGAGCATTACCTGAATACGATAGGGTCCGTCGAGCTACGATGAGCAGGCTGTGAATACACTTGGCCTTTCACAACGAATATTATCGTGCAAGAGAGTAGGAGAGCCCATGGATTGTCTTTCTCTTTTAAAAAAACTCTGACGAGTGACGAGTTAATTAATTAGTTGCCTAGGGGAATTACTTTCAAGTTTGGATTGCTGACGCAAAATTCTGAATCGATGAGGGCTGAGGCCACAGGTGAGTGTAGCTTGTCCATTTCGAATTTGCCTACGTAAATAAAACAAACACGGTCCATCGGCGATGATAAGTAGTAGTCTTGTAACAAAGAGCAACATAAGTCTTCCATGAGGGAAGCCGACGGTACAATACAAGCAATGAGGAGTGGACATTAATCACTTGTGGAATATGAATATGTGATTATATTAGCCACTCTTTCTTCTTATTTAATGGAAAGAAGTGTATTCAAGCGTTACACATCCAATTGACTTATCAGCCAACTAAAACCACAATACTTTTATAATTCTATGAACAAAACCCAAATATAGGATCCAAAAAGTATTTGAACTAAAAAGATAAGTCTAAGAAAAGCTAGAAATTATAGATTCAATTTTTTATCACAATTTAAGATAGAAATACATGTTTAAGCAATGAAGAGGAAACAACTTTTTAAGAGTTATGATCACCCTAAAATCATCTTTAATCACCAACACCGTAATGCTAATCAGAATCCCCGCTCCCCTTCCCGGGCACTTGGGGTGATTTGTTTATTTTTTATTTTTGGAACCAACTTGGGGGTGAATTGAAACCTTATAAAGATATCTAGATGAGCGGTGTGGTTATAATAAATTGAAGGGAGTTTTTTTTCTCTTAATGTGAGTGAATTTTACAGTAGTGGGCCATGGGCAGCCCACTTGAGGTCAGAACTCAGAACAACAGTGAGCTCAATGAGCTTTCATTTCTCTACTTTGAAAGAATTCTAACACCAAACAGGCTACTGGTGTGTGTGTGTGTAGATTTTTGTCTCGTGTAATGAGAGATTTGAAAGGTGCTTAGAGATTTGGTTATACCATAGTGCTTTCACACCTTAAGCAAGAAAAATGTAACAAGTGTATTTAATTTGCACAACATTATCCTCGTGGATGGGAGGTTAATTGGCTTGCACATCAACTTCAAATTCAAACATAATAAAGGGGAAAAAATCATCATAGCACCCCCCACAATCAACTTACATGTCGTGGGTGCATGAATGTTTACAATTCTGGTCCATTTACCTAGTAAATTTTGTCAACGAAAAAGACAAGCTCGTGCCACGTGTATACATACATGCTTGTCAAAGAAAAACTCCCAAAGACCCTCGACCAAGATGAATAAATGTTGTTGATTCAATACACACACGCTTGTCTTTTTTTGTTTTTGAGGTGGTCAAGAGGGATTGATGAGGAGAACTGCACACGTTTAGGGCAAATGAAGATCGAATGAATAGCCTCCTTTGGCTTGCTTGCTTGGACCATATGTGTTTGATGTAGAAAGACGAAGAAAAGGCAGAGATTAAGACAAGATGTGTGCTTTTGTGTTTTGGGTGATGGGTGTGTTTGTACATTTCATCATTCTACGTATTTTTAGTGCCGTGTTGGAACAAAATTCCCTTCAATGGCATTGTTCTCTTTATGATTGCAAATTACATGTATAAATAATATTTATGCATAGTTCTCCACCTAGCTAGATCCATGTCATCCATTTATTATCATATTCGAATATCCCCCTCCTGATTCCATTTGAATTTTAATCGGAAATATATATATATATATATATATATATGCAGTAATTAAGCATAACTTATAGGTGGCTTAGAGCTTGCTTTTATTTTACTTTTTAATTAAATCAGCATTTTAAAATATAAAATTCCTTTCTCTAACATGACACGAGTTAGAAATTAAGAGGTTATGATATAGACATGATCTTGCCATTTATACAGTCTACGCAAAAGGTCAAGCCAGGCCACTTTCCCTGCATGGGTAGAGAAGGAAAGAAAATAATTTTCAGACCACAACTGCCTCTACATATCCTCTAACGTGACTTATCTTGTCTAATTTGAACCACCTTGGGACTTTCTCGTCCATTCTGAAAGCTTCATGAGACGTTGCATTAATTGTTAGGAATTGTGCTTGAATCTAGCTAGTCCCCCTCTTGTCCTCCATTGGTGGGTTTGTCGCTTATCTTATCCTCTCATCACTACTAGCCTCGGTCGAGCCCAGTTATAGATATCTCATGGCTTGCATGTCTCTGGTTTGCGTGCGTGGTTAGGTTTCCATCTATTTTATGAATTCACGCAAAGCTATTTTGACAATATTTACATTCCAAGCACTGGAAATTATAGAAGAAAAGGGAAAATCTGACAATAAAAAAAATGTATTGGTCTCATGATATTTAGCCTTGCACTTCTGGAAAAAAGATTAATTTCCCATCAGCACCATGGCAATTTGACATGAAACTTCGTTTGCATGGAAACCCTATCTTTTAATTTTCTTAATTATATTGTAATTAAACACGCTTAAGCAGCCATAGTCAATGCAAGCAAAACTTAGCCATAGTCAACATAAGCAAAACTTAGCTTGCAATTCTATATGTGTGTGCGCGTGTGCGTGTGTGTATGAAAAGAAAGCTGTTTCACCGAATTTTTGCCCTGTCTACCACAGGCAGAAATTATTAGGAATGCTAGTCTCACCATATTAGACAGGACGCACGGACCAACAAAAATATATCACAGTTGACCTCAAAAATACATAATTAAATTAAATTAGGGATATATATATATATATATATATATATCACAGTTGAGCTTTTACCCACAAAATTAACTTAAATTTAAATTTGGTTTATTTTCAAAAATTGCATCTCGAGACATATCATCCGGCATATAATTCACTCTATATGTATAAAAAAAAATTATATATCAGGTATACTGTATATTTTATATAAAATATTGTTTGGTATCTCATAATATAAGAAATGAAAATTAAAAAGACATATTTTTATATACTTTATGTTTTGATATGATAGAAATTCACTATAAAATTATTGTAAATACTAATTTATTTTGTTTTTGTCTATATATCTTCAATCAAACATTTTTATATCCACAGTATCTTTATATGTCTCAAGACAATAACTTTATGTTACTTGATGATATCTCAAAAATCTAAGTAGTTTAAGAATAAGGTTTATGTGTTGAATAATTAGTTGATTTTTTAATTTTAACAATTTAATTTATTATTTCTAGTCAGGGTAGTTGGTGTTCAATGCTTGGTAAACCAAGGTGGCTAGTGGCAAGTACATACAAAAGGTCCTCCTTCAATGGATTTAACGACTTTTACATGCTTAAATGATATTTTAGAGAAAAATACTCTAAAAATACATATGCAATGAAAAATAGAGATTGTGAACTTAGAACTCGAAGAATTAAAAAAGAATTTATAGTTCATAAGTCTTATTGTTTTATAGAAATGAAGGACTGGAGAGTCATTTTGAAAAAACATTTTGCCTTGATAATATTAATGAGAGATAAATATATGTTATATAATCATTAATAAGATGTTCTTATATTAATCATTAATAAAATGTACGTATGATAAGCTTTTGAGAAATCTTTTATGTGCATTGAGGTGCAGAGAAAGTAAGATTCAGAATATATTGCATCATTAAGCATGAGGCTTGGCTATTTCTCTAGGCTAAACCAATGAAAATTGAACTCTTCTTCTAAGTTAAGTTCATGGCTAATTAGGTCTAGACATGTTGTCTATGATCATGGGTTTTTGAGTTTGTTTTTAAATTTTAAATTTGAATTTATTACTTTTTATAGAGTAAGATTTAAAATGTATTAATTTCATAATAATGAATAATCATGAGACCGGGCTTTTTTTCTAAGTTGAGCTCATGACGAATGAATTCTTCTCTTAAATTGATCCCATAAACAATCAGATCCATGCATGTTATGAGACCATGGATTTTTTTATCTTTCAATGGTTTTTTTAAAATTTGAATTTATTACTTCTCTATGAATTTATTGAATCTTATTAGCCGAGGGAAAATGGCATTCCTCGCTCACACCCCTTACTACAGCAAACCAAATGCAATTTAGCCAAAGCAAGAGCTTAGGTCAAAAGTTTCACGTGTCATTAAATTTAGGTCTGCAAATGAGAAAGAAAAAAACTACCCTAGTAGCTAGTGAAGTCATTATTTTAATAAGAAATTAACAGAGGGCGGTGGGATTTAATTTATCATGTGTTATGTGTCGATAACTATAGCAAGTGATTACCTTCATTGACAAAGACAGGTAGCTAAAATGTGTCATCAAACCCCTACCCTTTTCAACAAATATTTGTTAAATTATTTATGCAAACGCAATTCAGTTGTTACTGGAGGAACGCATTCCTTTCGACATGGGATTATTGCCATTTAATTATTTGGCTCAAGAAGCAGAATTATTGGTCGATGTCGGCAACTGGAGTTTACTAATGCTAAGTGGTGATTATAGCAGCCGCTTAATCACATAATTCCTGACATGTGGACATGCTATTTAGGTTAATAAAAAAAATGGATGCATGTTTACATTATTATGTATACGGATATTTAAGGTTTTATCTTGTTCATAAACAATGGTATTCTGGCCATGATTCATTGAATATCTTGTTAAGTGCGTTTTCTTTGTGTGGAGTAGAAGAAAACATTACCAAATTGTTTAACAATAGTTCATCTTTCATGTTTTTTTATTAATAAACCATTCTAGACCATATTTTTTCAATTTTTTGAAACCATTCAAGCCAAGCTAACAGGAATTTGAACAAGCCAAGCTACTCAACAACCAGAACCAAAGTTATGGGGACACAATGAAATATAAACACATGAAAAAGTATGACACAAGGGCTGTGGGGTTCAAACTCAGAATATTGATTGATTTGGATATAAATAGCATTATATTCATGACCCATTTTCCTCCTTTTCTGCCCCAAAAAAACTCCTTCCCACCACAAGCATTAATCCACACCAATCTACGACTCTTTCTGCATTGCCTAGCCTTGCCCTAGCTCTGTTTAATTTGTTCGACTACGTTAATTTTATCTAAACATTTGTGTATCTGTTCAGTCTACAAAGTCTGTTGAATGACATTTTTCGTTTGCGTTCATCATAAATATGTGTATATTTCAATAGTTAAGGCTGCAAAATATTAGATTATCTCATCTTCTAAAGCTATGAGATTAATAAACTACATAGAAAATTATTGATAAGAAAACGTGAAGCAGCAGCCATAACATCAACCTTGCTTGCCCCCTTGCAAGTTAAGGAGCCAGCTACCATGACAAGCAATATATGTGTCTCAAAAGACCTCGACATTACGTATTTTAAACTTGAATACTAAGTAATGATAGCGGTGACAACTCTGTCCAGTGAAATACAATCCTCCGCCATCAGCACAGGACAAACTCAATCCTGTGCCAAAAAGAGAAGAAAAGAAAAAGGAAGTGTACATGGAAGGAGAATTATCCCTATCATTCTATCAAGTCGATCTGGTCTCTACACAATGAGTTTTATGGTTTGGGATATACCAAGCATCCATTATATTAAATACTCTTTTATAGCCAGCTGGATAAGTTTGAACTTTGTGAAAGAGACATGCTGATTAAAAAAAATTATTTTAATATGATGGAGATTATTTTTTAAAATATTTTTTAAAATTAATTTTAGATATTAACACTTTAAAACAATCAAAACACATAAAAATTAATTTAAAACTAAAAAAATTTAAACTTTTTAAAAAATACAGCTAGACTATAATATTAAACATCTTCTTCGTAAAAAAAAAATCTTGATTATTGTCTTAATTAAAAACTCATTAATATTAAAAAATTTAAAAAAATATATACCATTTTAATCTTTTAATTTTTTAATTTTTTAAACTTCTAACTCAAGCCGAGTCTCTGGTCCGCTTTTTGAATGGGTTTTAAATCTATAAAAAGCCTAATATTGATTTGGGTTGCAAAATTCTACCTTCGAGGTTATTAAATATTTTTTATTTATTAAAGAGAAAGAAAGATGCTAATAAGATAATTATTTCCAAGAAAGTTGGGATGCCTAATTGACCACACGTGTTGCTACTTGCGACACCCTTCGTTCATAGATTTATATTATCTTGCTAATGGAATAATCTAATTGCTTAATACACTCCTGTCAACATAAATAAAGCCAGCAGCTAATAACAGTGTTTAGGAGTTCCAGCACCATACATTAATTACTTACAGTGTTGTTAATCACGAGGTTTGACAATTTGATTTTCTTAATTTAGAAACTAATACAAATTAATTACCCTCCCGTTTTCCCTCAACGGGACTAGCTAGCTAGCTAGCGCATGCCCACCTCGGCTCGCGTAGCGAGGGCGGTGAATTTCATAAATAATTTTATTGTAAAAGCTTGCACGGTGCCTATGCGTGGTGTCTTGGCTAGCTAGGTGGGTGAATTTTGTACTTTTTACCTCGCGGCTCGAGTTAGGCTGCCCCCTACCAGGATTTATTAATGGTGATGGCAGACAATTCCTTGAAGAGCTAACAAGGAATAGTTGATAACAGCTAATAATTCAACTATCATGGCTATGCTGATCGAATTAACACAAAAATAGTTGTTAATGATGGTGAATATTGTTGATTTATTAAACCTTCTTTGCATGAAATGATCATCCTATTTCAAGAGTCTTTAAAATATTTTATATTTAAAAAAATATATTAATAATATTTGTTTATTTAAAAAAAGTTTTGATATTAATACATCAAAATAATTTAAAAATATCAAAAATATATTAATTTAAAAAAAATTAATTTTTTTCTAAAACATTTTAAAAACATAGTTTTAAACAGGCACTTGCAACACTTTTGCGTTCTTAAAAAGAGGTTAACCAAAGAAAATTTACATGTTAGGTTCCTAAACATCCCGTGCTCTCTTCCCACATGCAACTGGATTTTATTCTTACCTATCTATTAAGATAGCTCTCCATGATACTATTCAAATGTTTTATATAATATACTAACATTAATTAATAAATATTTTTATAAATATCCTAGATATTTATGTTAAATATTAAAATATTTATCTTTAAAAAGATTATATAAATAAATCTTCATCTCGTTAGAGTTTATCTTCCTAGACAACACAAAACAAGTTTTAAAAAACATTTAAATCTATAGAATACAATTTATTCATCCTTTCACCTTTAAATATCATACTGATTTAAACATCGAGGTATTTTTATAGGTATTCTCAAGCTTATCAAATCCTCTTAATCAAGTTATATATCCCCATACAAAGCGTCCCAAATGTTTCTCCCAAGGACTTTTTTCTAGCCTCATAAGCTCTTAACTTCATGTACAAGTTACTGAAATTCCAATTATGCTTTGGTTTCTAGAACTAATTTATAAAAACGAAGCAAGCTTCTACTTGGGGATAATATATGTTGTGTGCTGGATTGTTTAATGGTATTTGAACGGATGCAATAAAATACTTGGCGACAGTAACCGACAATCCTCGGCAACTTGCTTGAAAGTTCACGAAACAAGGTTTCGGATTGAGAATGTGGAAAGCGTTGGGACACCAAATGATCATAGAAAGACATTCTACAGTTAAGTGGACAGTCCCTACGCACAGTTCCCCCATGAAGTGACTGCATGCCCTCCCCTGAGTCAGAAACTCGAGCTTCAACTGCCATCATGGTTAGTGACAACGTACGAGTCAAGACTCGGCACCAACTCATGACTCCTGTATATTCTCCCATCTTTTGTTAAAAAAAACAAACTTGAAATGGTTGGTGTGGTGTTTCCATGTTTCTTTGTGTGAATCCAAAGAAGCATCTGTTCCTTCCATCATTGCCCATCATTATTTTATTCCTAGTTACAAACCCATGATCCTAGCTAGGGTTTCCACTTCCGTTCTACAAAGTATCCTTGAAATATAAGTCTTATCAATCAAACATCTTATACATTTAGTTCGGTGAATTGACTTGATAAATACATAATCACGTATCTAACTCGAATTAAATTTTAATTTTAATTAGTTCTGATATTGACTCGATTAAAAACTTTAATGACCTAGCGAGTAGATCTACGATTTAATTTAACCCAGTTAAATTTAATCCAAAATATCTCAAAAAAGTCTAGAATCGAGAATACCAGTTTGTGTATCGATTGATATTTGTCACATTAATGAGCACAGACGCTCCTTTCTTCCCTTCACACTTGAGAAATTTCAACCCCAACAGAGACGTGCATATCATTACTCGCCTGGACTCTCAGAAATTTCAACGAGAATATCATCCATTCATCCATCCATCCTCTGGGACAAAATTGATTGCAAAAAACAAAAATCGAATTTCATATTTCCATGGTCTGCAAGAATGGGAGACACATTACTTGAGTATAGGGTAGTTTTTTTAAAAAAAATTACTTTTTATATTAAAAATTATCAAATTGATATTTTTTTAGTGTTTTTTAATGGTTTTAATGTGTTAGTCATTAAAAAAATCCAAATAAATATCTTTAATATATTTTCAGTTAAAAAACTGTACATAGCAATACAAATCACGCACCAGGTCAATAAACAAATTAAGGTGAGCTGATGAAAACACAAAACAACAAAAACTAGTAGCTCATTGAGAAAATGAACAAGATCCATGGAAGACTCAGCAATGAACTTACCGGGAGTTTCCTCGACCATTCACTAAGGCAGCAAGCTTTTCTCGTGTCCCAGTAAAAATAAAGGCGTTCCATAGCCAAGAAATATCACACATGGAGGGGCCACGATACATACATGGGGGTCCATATTTGTGGAATTTTCTTCGTCTTTATGACCTGGTCTCACCCTTCCCCCCACCAAGCCACCCACCAAAAAAACAAAAGTATTTATGCAAATAAATATCCCATTTTGTTTTCCTAAAAATGTAAAGCAGAGGTGCCAGCTGATCACTCAAAATTAACTACAAATTAATTATTAAATTAATTAACTAGTAAGGATTATCAGTGTTCCTGTCCTCTGGCCTCTCTACATCATTCCTTGTGCCACCCCGTCACCCTCACGCCTAACACCCCACCTGTGTCTTCTTTTTTTGAGGTTTACTTTTCCTCACACCAATGAGGATTGCCGCCATTATTGTCATTATTCTTTACTTCCTCGATCAAAAGTGATTATTTTACATTTCTTTGTCATTTATATTCCGAGAGGATGCTTGCCATTAAAACACCTTCATTAATTATTTATTTTTTGCAATTTTTTTATGAATTCCTTATTGAAGGTTCAAAGGTTAAAGTTACATCATTGAATTTTACTGGCACTTTGTGTCCTTTTTGACGTCTTGCCGTGTCAACATGAGGATGGCTAGAAATTGATTTGTGAATTGGCAAAATTAAATTGTTTTAACGTCCGGATTTAAAAAAGCATAGAACCACAGGAAAAAAACATATAAAAAAGAAAAATTATCCTTTATTATCAGCGAGATATTTGATTGTACTTGGTCTCAAAATTAAATTATACTATCTTTCCAATAATACTCTTACTCGTGATTTCTAATTATAAGGACCCGGCCATGTCCAGAGGAGGAGGAGGAGGAGGGGAAACAGGATAGGAAGTGGAAAAGAAAGAAAGAAGAAGAGGGTGGGGGGTAAAAATTCATAGTTCTAGTTATACAATACTAGGTTTAATTTGAAGTTTTTTTTGCTTTATGGATTCTCAATATTCTATAGATTTTATTTATTGATATGAAATTAGATGCTATTTTTATTTTCAACTGAAATAAAAATGGTAATTAAAATCAAAGACAAATCATTATTAAAACCTAGGATTTCACGTTCATGAATTTTAAAATAAATATTTTTAATTTTTTTTCAATAATTGTTTAGAGCACAGTTAAACTTGTATTTTAAAAACTTAAAAAAAATATTATTATTTTTATTAAAAATTAATATATTTTGTACATTTTAAATTATTTTGATGTGTTGATATTAAAAATAATTTTTAAAAAATAAAAATGTATTATTAACATGAATTCAGCATGAAAAATTATTTAAAAAACAATCATTACTA